CTAGAACTAACATACCACTAGAACTAGCACTTATATTAGAAATAATACTAGCTGGAAGTTAGAACTAATATGACATCGGTTACAACTAACATACACTAGAACTAACGCTTATTAGAAATAACACTAGCTGGAGGTTAGAACTAACATGACATCAACTAGAACTCTCTCGAGAGCCACTAGAACTAATAGGGGCTCAACTAGAACTAACATACAAACAAATCTGATGCACAAAACCCTAAAAGTTCACCGTAGTACAAAATTCACCAATCAAGCGCAAGAAAGACGAGATCAATATTTGCCTAACCCTAAGTCCCTAAGATAGAAATCGAGAGAGTTGAGAGGAGTTACGATGTGAGACCACTGAGAAGGCATCAGATCTCCTAGGTGATAGCATCAAAGAAATGATTTTTAGTTTATAATTCGGGCTCGGCCTCGATGACGGCGACGTGTGCTGGTGTCCTCCCCAAAGTCGGAGATAGATCCTGAGCCTGAGGAGATGTTATGGTCTCAGCCATGAAGAATGCAGACTGTGCGGACACTGCGGAGTGTGGAGCGCGGTGGAGGAGCGACCGAGTGAGAGAGAGGAAATGAGGAGCGACAGTTGAGAAAGGGAAAGTGGAAACGAGTTTAGGGTTTGAGTGACTGAGTCTTTGGGGTAGTGAGTCGGGTTTGAGATTCGGGTATTGCACTATTGGGTATTCGGTCGGTTCGGGTTGAAAAGTTTTCAACCCAACCCGAACCACCCGACTCATAAAATCGATTTTTTGGGTCGGTTTTTCGGTTTGGACCGAACCATGCTCAGCCCTAATTATGACCTATGATTTTGGCTATTTTCCACCAAATGATTAGTTTTCGTCCCTCAAATTATTTTATGTTTATCGAAAAAATAATTCATTATCTTGGCCATTTTTAACCTAAAAAATTATCAAATTTGTATAGGTTGTAATCCAATGATTTTGACCATTTGCAACCGAATCACGAATTACCTCCATGCACATCATATTCTATGCATGTTTTAACTTTTTCAAACTTTTCTGGACTATAATCCATGATTTGCAATTTAAACCTACCCACATATTGCTATCATGTGTAAATTATTTTACTAGAATGACCCATGATTTTGGTCGCTTTTGACCAAATTAGAGATCCCCATCCTGCATAGAATATTTTATGCATATTCACAACTTTTTGAATTTCTATGGACTACAACCTATGATTTTGACTATTTTTTATCAAATCATAAGTTGATAACCAATGATTTTTGTCGTTTTTGACCAAATTAGGGATCCCCATCCTGCAAAGAATGTTTTATGCATAGTCAAAACTTCTTGAATTTCTGTGGACTACGGCCCATGATTTTGACTATTTTTGATCAAATCATAAGTTGGTGCCCCGCATAGAATAAATATTGCTTATTCAAAACTTTTTGAATTGCGGTGGACAATGATTCATTTTTCGGCCGTTTTCAATGAAGTCGTAGATTGTCATTCTGCATAAAATAGTGAGCGGCTCAATACCCGAATTATAGTCGACTTTCAACTCATAATTATGGCCATTTTTGACGAAATAAAAAAATCTCCTTTCTATATAGACAGTTTTTTTGTGTATTTCAAAAATTTTAAAATTTCTATGTACTATAACCTATTGTTTTGATCATTTTTAACCAAATCACAAGTTGTCATCCTACGTAAAATTTTGTATGTGTACTCTAAAATTCATGAATTCTTTGTAAAGTAACCCATGGTTTGGTCATTCTTGACCAAATCACAAATTGCCATCACTCGTAAAATATGTTATGCATATTTACAAATTATCTAGTTTATGTTGCCTATGACTCATGATTGTGGTTGTTGTGGACCAAATCTCAAGTTGCTTTCCCACATAATTTTTTAAACATGCTCCAAAATCCCCGAATTTCTATGGACTATAACCTATGATTGTACTCGTTTTCGATCAAATCACAAATTGTTGTCTCCAATGGTTTAAATATAGGCTGATTTTATCGATTTATACCTGATATATAGGGTTTGGGCTATGACTAATATGATTTTTGCAAAAATATATCTCATATAGTTTTGAGCCGATTTTTCTCTATATATCGGTGTAAATCCAATAAAGCGTTTGATTTTTCATGGGCTAAAATCACCCGATTTTCTACAATTTACATTCTAAGTGAACTGGTTCGCGTTTGGAGACAAAACACCCTCTTTTTTCCATATTCGACCCACATACACTAAACAAAAACAATACTATCCTATTCTATTTCGCTTCCACTAAACAAAAACAATTGGTAAGTGATCCTAAACATGCGTTATTTACATATTAGTATGTTTATGTTTCATTAAATGTGCTTAGATTACTTTTTAAAACATTATATTATATATGCTCACCATCCAATGTAACTCTCCAATTTTTACTACGTATCACCGATATATCCCGATAACTAGGATCCGATATGAATTTTGGCCATCTGATATATTTCCTATAATCGAAATTTAAAACATTGTTTGTCTCGCATAGTTTATTTTATTCATACTCCAAAATTCTTGAGTTTTTGTGTACCATAATCAATGATTGTGGCCATTTTCTATATCCCGATAACTAGGATCCGATATGAATTTTGGCCATCTGATATATTTCCTATAATCGAAATTTAAAACATTGTTTGTCTCGCATAGTTTATTTTATTCATACTCCAAAATTCTTGAGTTTTTGTGTACCATAATCAATGATTGTGGCCATTTTCGATATCCCGATAACTAGGATCCGATATGAATTTTGGCCATCTGATATATTTCCTATAATCGAAATTTAAAACATTGTTTGTCTCGCATAGTTTATTTTATTCATACTCCAAAATTCTTGAGTTTTTGTGTACCATAATCAATGATTGTGGCCATTTTCGATATCCCGATAACTAGGATCCGATATGAATTTTGGCCATCTGATATATTTCCTATAATCGAAATTTAAAACATTGTTTGTCTCGCATAGTTTTTTTTATTCATACTCCAAAATTCTTGAGTTTTTGTGTACCATAATCAATGATTGTGGCCATTTTCGATAAAATCACAAATTGCCTTTTCGCATAGAGTGTTTTATATATACTAGAAAATTACAGAATTTCTTTGGACTGTATAACCTATGATTGTGACCACTTTCGATCTAATCACAAATTGTCATCAGTCATCATGCAAAAAATATGTTGAGTGTACTTTAAAATCCTTGAATTTTTATGGATTATGAGTCATTATTGTGGACATTTACGATTATGTCAAATTTTTGTCTTGCATAATATATTGTGTATTCCAAAATTCCAAAAATTATGTAGGCTATAAGCCTATAACTCATGATTTTTGCGTTTTAGACCATTCACAGATTTTTTATCCTCGACAAAGTAGTGTCCCCCCACCCCCCATAGAAACTAACTTTAAAATAGAATCCTTCTATAAAAACTATCTTCGATATTCAATTTGCACATAAACTACCTTTAAAGGGTTTTTTGATGTAATCAATCACCTGGGTCCACTTTTCGGTTACCTTTTCGATAATTCTTCCCAACTGAACTCCATTAAGGATCATCTCTCTAATATACTTGGTATTTGCCAATCAATTATTATAGAAAAATGGCAAAAGTTGAATTTAAGGTGAGTCCTGTTGGTTGATTGAAACAAAATGTCATTTGTGATGGTTTATGTATAAATTTACAGTTGAAAGTGGTTTCTGTAGAATGACCATATTTTAAGGTAGTTTCAATGAAAAAAAACCCTTTAGTATAATCCATAATTTTGGTGTTTTTGACCAAACCTTAAAAAAGTGCCTAATTTTTGTGGACTATAACACATTATTGAGAGTGTTTTTGGCTAAATCACTCATTTTTGCCATGCGTAGAATAAATTATTTGTACTCAGAAATTACTGAAATTCTTGGACATAATTCATGATTTTAGCCTTTTAAACCAATTAACATATTGCCATCGCAAAATATTTTGTGAGTGCCCTGAACTTCCCAAATTACAATGGAATAAAACCAACGGTTGTGGACTCCTTTGACCAAGTCACAAATTGCCGCTTCCCGTAGATTAATATGTTCCTATCCGAAGTTAAAGTGGACTATAACTTATGATTTTGGTCGTTTCAACCAAATTACAAATTACCATCCCACGTAACTTATTTATGTTGACTATAACTTATGATTGGGCCATTTTCAATAAATCACAAATTGCCTTACCACGTGGAGTATTTTGTGTTCTTAAATTTTTGTGGAACAAATCATTTCGGACGTTTTTGATCAAATCACAAATTGTCATCACATATAGAATACATTTCGCATATTCTAAATTTTTTGAATTTGGGCGAAATATTACTCTTAATTTTGGTCATTATCAACCAAATCACAAATTGTCTTCCTGTGTAAACCATTTCTTTTGCGTACATCAAAATTCTAGAGTTTCTATGGATTATATAACCTTTTTGACTATGCTCGCTTTCAACCAAATTACAAATTTCTATCACTCATAGATTGTATTATACGTACTTCAAATTCCTCAGTTTTGTGAGCTTATTATGGACATATTCGAGCAAATCACTAATTATTGTCCCACATAATATATTCTCTTCGCACTCTAAAATTCTCGAAATTTCATGGACTAGCTCATGATTTTGGTTGTTTTTGACCAAATCACAAGTTCCCGTCACTCATAAATTATGTTGTGTACGTCAAAATTGGTCCATGATTTTGGCCATTTTGCGGCCAAAACACAAATTACCGAATTTTATGGCTATAACCCAAGATTTTGGCTGTTTTCGGCCAAATCACAAATTACCTACCCGCATAGCATATATTATATGTTCTTCAAAATTTTTGAACTTTTGTGGAATAGTCTATGATTTTGACCGTTTAAACTTTCTCACAAATTGCTGTCACGCGTAAAATATATGTTATGGTTAAAATAAATTTTGTTGTGTCCTTATATTTTAATCCCTTTTTCCACTATGCAGGACTTTTTTCAGGAGGAGGATCAAGGGTGAAATTTCACGGTTCTCCAGAATCATCTGCGGGAGCCAGGGGTGGATTTATTTCTGTTCAGTTTTACAGGAATATGTCTGTAGATCGTGATTCTAACTCTGCATCCTCTAGCTCTGCATCTCCCAAGTATGTAGTTTTACATTTGTGCACCTAGAGCTTCTGTACTATTCATCGCATGTGTGTATGCGAATTTATAATGTATGACAGGGTTAATTGCGGATATGACTTACACTTATATTGTTGCAGGTAGACCCCTGAGTGAAAATTATTGGCCCTTTTACCCTTGGCCAACGGGAGGTCCGTCCACATGGGCGATAGTGCTGGGGGTTATCCGCAATTAACCCTATAATATATGATTAATGATTCTTTTATCACTTTATGTTCTCTTCTCGGCATCATTTAATGCCTTTGCATTAGAGCACATTTAGATTGTCATGTTGGTAACCTGTCTTGAAAATGTTTACTATTGCAGCAATGTAGAACTGATATCGGGGCTTGATGATGATGGAAAAGCGAGGGGAGATGCAGGGTATGCAATGAGGAGATTAGAGGGTAAGGAGGAATAGATCTCTGAGCATCATCATGCAGCAAATGTTCTTTTATAGTTCATTCTATGTAAATATGTGCGACGATGAGAGCTTTTAGTAGATTGCAGGCATTTGATGTACATGA